GAGGGACGAAGCAATATTTGAAACAACAAGAGTGATAATGTTGTTGCTGGTGGTGATAGTGAAGAAACCAGAAGGCCAGCAGTAGGCTGGCTGGCGCGGTTGCCTATAGAGGCTGGCCGATTAATGGGCCTGGTAGGTCACGTAACCTAGACCTCGACAGTACGTCTAGACACCTAGACCCTAGACATAAGCTGTGGCGTCTGGAGAATTAGAACAGTAGTTACTACTTGCTGTTACAGAGAATTAAGAGCTTAAACAAGTAGTAAAATAAGTAAGAATTAAAGTGAATATAAATTATTAAAGTGGGCAAGAGTTGAAGTGAGTGAGAGTTGAAGTGAGTGAGAGTTGAAGTGAGTGAGAGTTAAAGTGAGTAAAGGTTTAGCTCTGTGCTGCCCCACCCTTTTCTATTAATTCTGCAAAGCACGAAGTGAGCATTGCTACGTTAGGTAAATAGTATCCTAGCTACTAACTCTAGATTTAGCAAGGCTAATTCGTCTTAGTCGCAATATTCCATCACGTATCTGTGGCAGTGGGATGGTGCTTGTGGTAGGTGAAAGTCGCAATAATCCTATATTCATCCTGTTAAACAGGCTATATATACATAGCCTTTTGCTCTTAGTGCTGCCCTAAGGGGCAAATGCTAGACTTTTGCATTATAGAAATACACCTGACATTTTATCCACTAGCGTCACGTACACACACACACACACAAGCGCGCGACGCGACGCGACGCAGCACTAAGAAAAGTTTAAGCTTGTGCTATGTGGAGAGTGTACACATAAAGCTGAAAACCCTGACCGCTTCCACCGCCATAACTGTATCTAAGTACGGAGCAATGTACTGCGCACGCCCCACTGCAACCACTAAAGCTGATCGATAAGACCTTCTCTTTGCTGGTCGCTGTTTGTTGTTCCTTTGGGGGCTCGTCTTTTCGATTTTGATCGTCTCCATCCTTCGGTGGGAGAGGGAACATTGGCCATGTCTAGGATATTGTTCCTTTCGCTGTCTGCCCTGCGCTTCTTTATGGCGAGATCGAGGGGTAGGGTTGAGGGAACATTTCGGACAGGTTGTTGACGGCTGCTTCAATGGTGGAGAAACTCGAGGAACGACTCAGTTGATCCTGGACGACGCAGCGATGCACGTCAAGAGCGGCGGTATCAGTGTAGGTATGGACAACGTTGGCTGGGAAGAGCCTGACGAGAAGAAAGCCTAACGGGAGCAGGGCGAGGGATTGGATGAGGGAACGAAGAGGCAAGGCAGGAGGGGCTGCTTAGGTTAGTATGTACATTAACGATGGGCCCAATGTTGATCGGAGGGGGCAGTAAGTAGGGGAGGTGAGGTGAGGTCGAGAACAGAGGTACCTAAGCTCGTGTACGTAGCTTCCCTATAGCTAGTTTAGTGACGAGGTTGAACCACTTTTATGGTCCAACCTCAATATCAGAAAGAACGTGACTGTCTGCGCGGTATGTAATGATGTCATTAAAGCCAAAGTTGGTCAATCAACCCAGCTGGTCCGGGCAGCTAACCCTTCAACCTGGGCAGGTACCTACCTTCAGGTACCTGCCTGCCTAGATATCTACGTACTTACCCGTCCGCCCCTCTGTTTGATACCCTCGAATCCAAACCCCCATCACCGTCAGCCTTACACCTCATTCACCCATCTATTTTGGCTGCAATGTCCCCTGCTGTGAAAAGTCTAAGCAAGCCACTCGCTGACGGACGGGCGGCTGCTCGCACTACGTGATCTCGTGAACGATTCCAATCATGTGTACGCGACACAGGATGCTCGTTCAAGAGAGACTCTTCCATAGGTAGCTAACAGCCTCGCAGCTTTGACTGACGACTCCCTCCCTCGCCCACTCATTGGCTCACTTGTGGGAGCAACTGTAAACCGAATTCCGCCGGGATCCCGAGCTGCGTCAGGTCGACTTCGCCTAATGCGCCGCCCTTGTAAACCATTCAGTTCTCAACTCCTTGGACGTGTACATGGGAATACTGCTTCTCCTCTTCACTATGGAGATCACCAAATCCCTTGCTTGTCACAAGTCGGTATTCTCCCTCTGCAAATCCCGCCCTAACCTGCGTGTCGAGGGCCTCTCAGACACCTACAAGACCCAGCTCGTGCAAAACAGCCCCCGTATCATACATACAAGGTATCACCCGCTCCAAACAGGCTGCCAAGAGTCGTGCGTTTACCCTTCCCGCCATCATCATATCATGCTTCTCTGAGACCGCCCCGCAAACTTTCGTTTTAACCCAGTCGCGCCAGCATTCAAAAGCCGAGGGCAAAAGCCGCCCGCATGCAAGTCCGTCCCACCCCAGCTCCCATCTGCCTCCATCGACCCCGAAAGGAAGTCTATCGCCGCCATCCCCTAACATGGAATCGCTCTCTCCACTACATAAAAGAACACGGTCACGACCTGGCCATCTTTTGCTTCGTACTTTCAGATCCAGAGCTCAGACCCATGTACGATACTCCAACTCCACATTGCGAGACGGGAATCCCACAGACAGTGGAGATGCATCGCATCGCCCGATTGCTAGGAAACAGACGACGAAGACGTTATTACAAACATTGCCAGCCTGCTCCTCGACCATATCGAACTGCCCCCCGTCAATGACGCCAGATCCCCCATCCACCCAGCTCGCTGACGACGAGCTCTCTGACTTTGAAGATCTCCCACTCCCACAAGTCTTTACCATCCACCATGACTCACCCTCCCTAGGTGAGTGAGCCGATGCAGTGGATACCTATCATACTTGACCGGCGCTGCCTTGACTACACGAAGTCCCAGCCGAGGGTTTGTCAACAATCCTTGAAGGGGGCTGGCCAGCATAGTCGAGGACTCTACAAGTACGCCTCTAATAAAGTCTGGCCAGGCAATTTTAGCCAGTTCCATTGGTCCTTGCTCTCATGAGTTGGCCATTCCAGACGAGCCCCCCTTCTAGCACGCTATCCATAACATCGGAGCCCAAGATCACTTACCCCAATCCGTGCACACAAGCGTGAGCATTCCCCTGTTTTGACAACCCACAATGGAGAAACCTATCGTGTTTTTGTTCCTCTGCCACTGGAGTCATTCGGTCTTGTTCATATGGGCTTCGCACAACAACCTGCACGAATACAACTCCATGTTGTCCGGAAACGAAGCATTTGGGGCCAGTTTTGTGCATGACTTCCTGTGATGGGTCTACAAGGATGTCCATCTTCGCGTTAATTTCCGCAAGCATCCGGTATGTTTCTTACATCCCCCGCCCCCTACAATATTCAGCTTCCGTGTCTTGGTTCTCTGATTCTCACAACGCCCGTAACAAGCCAATTTCTAGAACTGCGGCGTGTACGCCCCCTCGTCTTCGCCGCACATAATGCTCCTAACAATCCCTTGCCAGGAAGGATTGGCGCCCCCCCGCGAGCGTAAATACTTCCGCTAGCGTCTGGTAATGACCCCGGTACTGTAGGCAAGAAGATTTAAGGTTCTCGGACTGCCCCTTCCCCTAGCCCTATGAAGCGCAGCGGCATAAGTTTAAGCCAACTTAACATGCTCGCGAAGCCCAAGATGCGACGTTGAACATTGCACATATAATTGTCGGGAGCATGATAAACCTACCTGCTGTTTTGCGATACCAAGCTTTGGTGTTGCTAACCTGTATTATATGACGACAAACACGAATATTTGGAGATGAAACACGTTCTGTCAGTTGCATCTGATAACTGATGCTATTGGCAGTACGGGGTCATGGGTGTATGCCGGCGTAAACAAGATGTTTTGCTTTGAAAGGATTGGGTACGCTGGGTTATGGAGGTTGCTTAGGGGAAAGTATCAGCACTCACCGGAGTCCTGGTCAGTTTCTACAAAATTCACCTGTCAACGATCGAGCCAGCCGTCGGCCTGGAATCGAAGATGCGAGGTGACAGGATGGAAAGGGAGGACCTCTTGAGTTTCCACAAGACAGCACACAGGTAGATGCTAGAGAGTATAGACCTCTCTCTGTTAAGAAGGTGGAATACGCTAGCACAAGAACCTGGCTTTGAATCAAAGGTGCCTTTCTCCAAGATGGCCAGTTGGCTGGTTCAGGACTGCGCCGGTGACGTGGGAGCAGCGGCAAATTCTTGCTGTGGGTGAACAAAGAAGCTTATCAAAACCACGGCCTGATGCTGTCCTGTGTGAGAGTGAACAGGCCTTTATCAATTAGTTCCATAGCGATATTGTTACCTTCCATGTCGGCAAGATCTCATTTCTTTAGCAAACGGCACAGGCAGATATGGGTTAGTAGCAGATAACTAGGTAATACGTGAAGCTAATGATGCTTGGAGGTGTGAGTGAGCGTCACGGACAAGGTCAAAGTGGCGCACAAAAGGCACTATTACGTGCATGCCCGGAAGACATCTGCCGAGACCTGCCGCATCCAGACCGCCATAGTGTGTGATGGTGACATACCAACTTTGCTGTTGCTGTGACATTGATCATGTACCTACCCAGAGCAGATGACAGGTCTAGAATTGAGAAAATTCTCGTCAACAGAGATTAATTTACACTCGCTTATTTGAACTGTTCTATCCTCCCCATACTCCTTGTTAGGCCTGTCCTGCCAGCCAGCTTCCAACATCAAGCACAATCTCCATTATCCAAGCGTTCCGAGCTCCTGCTCCATACCGACCGTCTGATAGCGGGCCTAGAAAACCTCTTGTTCTGGTCTGGGAATTCTGTTCTTCGCGGGCCGTGAAGCGCAGAATCTCGGAGCACCTCGGTGGGGAGGGAGAGCTGGGCCCGAAGGCATTGTCGTTATCGCTATCTGACTGTGACAGCGGCAGAAGTGGTAGCGGCACCAAGCTCCCTTTGTAGTCGCTGTTGTCATCAGCATCCCCGTTTCCGTCTATATAGAGCCCCCTCAGGCCCACGGGGGGGTGCGGGCGAGCTTGGTGTCCTCTTTCTCTTCCTCTTCCTTGGCCACGGCCACGGCCACGCCCCCGGACTGTGTCTCAGGCGGTCCTGCTGTTGCTACTGCTCCTGCAGCTGTGGTGGCGGTGTCAGTGGAGCATTGGTTGGGGCGCAGGGCGGAGGCGATAATAATTTCTTGGCGGCCTTGAGAGCGGCTGTGACGACGTCGTTGACCAGGTTGACGGCAACAGACCTCCGAATACCGCGGGCGATAGGGCCGTGGGTGGCGGCGTCGTCGTCATTGTTGTCGACCTAGAGGTCGCCTAGAGGGCAAACACTACCGCGCGCAAGCTAAATCTTGGTGATGGTCTTCATGGGGATGACGACGCAGTCGGAGAGGCGGGATCAGGAACACCATCGGTCAGGGTACCAGGCAGCGTTGGCCCAGTTCCCGCGCAGGTAGGCGACGTTTTTGTTCAGGAGGCAGTAGCAGGTTGTTGGGGCGCTTCCCTGGGGCTTAAAGGCGGTGTTGGTGTGGTAGGCGTAGCCGTTGGCATGGAAGAGGAGGGCAGAGACGGGTAGGCTGGGGGCTACATTTGCGGCGGTCGAGAAGATACGTAAAGGATTACTGGTTGATGAGGTCCTGGGCGTCTTGATGGGTCAGTCTGTTGTTGTCCACCTCTGAATGGGATTTAAGGAGGATAGGCTGGGATATGGGGACTCATGTTGACGCTACCCTTAGGAGACAGACTACTGGCAGGGCCTGAGGTGGTGTTTTTGTTGCTGCTGCTGCTGGAAGACATGATAGCGGCTGCGGGAACAGGGGAGAGACTGCCCGAGCTGCGCATGTCTGGCCCTCCCGAGGACATGGACGTCAACACTCGCATGCTTTCAGTTTAACAGTTGTAGCAGAGAGAAACAGTGAGCTCTGTAGGTTGTATGTGTTCCCGTTTTCGAAGGTGCAGATGAAGGTGGGGTGGCTTGTGAGTAAGGTGCGCATCCATAGCCCCCGCGCCGCGCCTGGCGGGACATCAGCACCGACAGACTTTCCCTCTGACATGCATCATCTTCGTCTTCGTCTTGGATTCTGACCTCTTCATTGCCCACAAGTTCTGCCGTCAAGGTTAATGAAAACCTTGCGTCTTGGTTGACGGGACCACTGTTCACGTCAATAGAACAATATAACATTACAGTTTGTGTGTAATATCAACTCGCCGTCATTCACAATGCCTCCTCCGTGTTCCCTCACCCAGAAAACGTGGTACGGCGTCCACAAGTGTCTGCTGGCCCAAGATGTCTATCAAGCGCGGCCTACAGAGTTCTCGATTCTGCACGAGGCTGCCATCGGTCTCGGATGACTTCGACACAAGATGACGCAGGTCCCACATCACGCATTCCCCGTATTCATCATTCACCTGCTAACAATTCTTACCCAGCCACAGCACACAAGGAAGGCCCCGATCGATCGATTGATACCCGAAATATCTATAACAGGTTTCTTCTCGATAAAGCCAGAGAAGCAGACATGGCAACTGTAGCAATGAGGGTCGACTGGTGCGGTTGTTAACGTAGGCGCGCCTACCTACTAATTAATCGAAACCCATGTTGGCGTCAATCCAGCAGTACTGCATAATTGACGTACCGGCCATGGTGTCGAACCTGCCATCGAGGTCGTGACGCGACAGCGCGTAAATACGTCGGGTCTTTGGCATCGGGTCTGACTGGCCTGGACAATCATGGCCGAAACCAGCGACACCCAGGGCGGCACGGGGCGCTTGGCGCACCCTTGTGCCCCTGCCGCCGGGGAACATGTTCAAGGTGCCGAGCGCTTCACACGACGTGGCACCAAGCGTATCCGTACGGGCGTGCTGGAGACGAGTTGGCGGGGCGCTGGAGATGATTAAGGGCGGGTGTGCTGGAGGTTCAAGAGGGAGGTGGCGGTGCGGAGTTATTGCATAGAGTATTCACACAGCAGCCGCATAAATGTGATGGACACGGACGGAGGTTGGATGACAACAGTATGCGAATAATTCATTTTGCCCTTTTACTGGCCAGCCCTGACCAACTCGTTTGCCTGCTGGTCCAGCGGATTGGAGACGTTGTGATGAACTAGGTGGGCGAAATAACCCGTGCGCAGACTTTGCCCAGCTTTCGACCTGAATTACCCCAAATTGTTATGTTTCTAGAATCCAGACGCGTAGCCCCCCGATCGCTATTCTGTGGCACCTCCCGTTTTAGTGTAGACTAGGTACAATCTTTGCGTGAACGCAGTAGAGTGCATCCGAGTCAGATGGTGGAAAAACACCCGTTGTAAAGGAGCGGATTCGAACGTTGCCGTTTCGTTGTTCTTGGCTGGGATGAACACACAAACATTGCAGGTCAACGACAACGGCAGCTGTGGACACATACGACAGGCCTAATCAATGCGTTAACTGCTCGCCAAGGACAAAACTCACGTCAAGTTCGGCATGTCGTTAGCTTGTAGCGATTTGGACGTACTTGGGCAATATATGCGGAAAGGAAAGCATTAGGAGGGCGTCCGTCGCATCGCGGCGGTTGTGGGTGCGGTGCGTCTTGGGGATTCTTGCCGAGCAAGAGAGAGCCGTGGTGTTTTTGTTTGGAATGGAGCGACTTGGGAAACAGATGACTGACTGCCAGTCAGATCCGGCCAGACCCTCTCCAGTGAGTGAAATTGCATAATGAAATAAACCCGATCTGGAGATGGCTTCTTACTCGCTCTATCCTCCAAATGATTGGTCTTTGGCGACCGAGGAGAGAGAGTGCAAGTGTGAGGCAGGTACGGTACGTACCCGACCACAAGAACAGGGAGGTGTTTCTCTCCGGGAATCTTACGTCATTAATCTCCCGAGGACGAAACAAGCAGCTACCAGAGGTGCAAGCCACCGTGAGGCAAATGTGTGGCGGCAATGCGCATTGCTGGATGGAACACTTATCACGTCCCTCTCCTTCTAGTTGTGTAAGACGAGATGGATCACAATTGCGCTTCTATTAGCTATTGCAGTAAATAAATGACGTTCGAGCACAACCGCTCCTCCGAGTGAAGGAACCTATTGCTTACCACACTTTGACGCCGTCGTCTTTCCCTATTGGCACGGCGACGGCATCTTTCAACTCGTCATCTTCTCCGAGTCCTGGCGAATCCCAGACTTGACATGCCGGATGGTCTCCAGCATTCTCTTCAAAAGAAGTTGCTGCCGCCATGATTGTCATACATGACGGATCCAGCACTTGTTCTGCACTCTGTGACAGCTGGGACGGCGTGGTAGAACCTTAGGTAATAGAACACGGCACACCTAATGATATTGGCACTGATGGCTAAAGGCAGTAGGCAGCGTAGCGTAGACTGAGTGTAGCACAGCACAGCTGTACATAGACTTGGTGCACAAGCTATGTATACGCTATAGAGTTAGATAAATGTTAGCAGAGGTGCAACTTAGAAGGTAAGTAAGTAAGTAGGTAAATAAGTAGGTGAATAAATTAGTAAGTGAGTGAGAGGACTGGCTACTATGTGATGAGGCCTAAGATGTAATAACCTTCTTTTCCCTTGTCCTCTCCTTAACAAGTTTTGTTGCCTTTATTAGAAGAATAACTAACTAATCCCTCTGACTTTTACTACCTTTTGAAAACAGCAAAAAAAAAACAAAAAAAAAAAACATAATCTCTTATATATATATACCTTAATTATTGTCTCTGCCTCTTCTCCTCTCTTTATACTTTTGTAATTAAAGCAGAAAAGTTTCTTACTCCTTTTTCTTTTTCTTTATATAAGCTATAAACCTGTCCTATACACCTTTATGCCTAATAAAGAACTAATAAAGATAATTTATACTAATAAGTATATTACTTTATACACTTAAGAGTGCTAATACTAAGGTATATAATAGCTATATAGATATTACTGCTCCTCTAGCCTTGCCTAGAGCCTTAAAAATTATAGCGTTATAGAGATTAGGTAAAAAAGACAGACTTAACTATTCTAAGGCTATAATCTATCTTAGGTCCTTAGACTTAACTAATAATACTAATAGTTTTCTTTATCTTTACCTTAATACCCCTAAAAAACTTAACTTTAACCTTAATACCTATTACTAATTATAACGCTATCTTACTAGGTTTTTTATTTTAACTATATCCTTTTACCTTATAAGTTACTATTTATATATCCTTAAGTGCCTCCTTACTAAGCACTAAGTTATTTACTTCTTATATAACTTTATTACTAAGTATACTTAATATACTTATATAGTAAGTTATAGATTATAATAAGTTATATACTTTCTTTTACCTTTTTACTTTTTCTATAAGTTAATTAAGCTATAATATATAAAATTAATTAAAACTACTTATTACTATTTTCTTTATTACTATCTTAAACTATCTTATAGGTTTATATATTATATTTAGTCTTTCTATAATTACTATATTATTATATATATAGTTTACTACCCTCTATATAAGCCTTTTTTTAGGATGTTTTTTTACCTCTAGCTTTAATACCTTCTTTTTCTCCTTATAGTACCTTTACCTTTACTAGATTAAGTAATCCTCTAAGATATAGTTAGGCCTTTTTAGCTCTTTAATACTTACTTAGTACCTTTATCCTTATATAAAGCTAGTAGTTCTTAGCCTTTATAATAGTAAGCCTATAGGCTAATTTACTAATACTTTTAGCTTAAAGGTTAATAACTTTATATATTAATATTAAAAAGCTACCTTAATAACCTTAGATCTTTTTTTTAAGTAAACTAGTACTTAATATACCCTCTAGTACTATAGTTAGTATCTTTAGGTCTTATAAGCCTAAGCTATTTAGATATAAGCTAGTAGGTGTTAGTATATTTAGCTTAAAATCTAAGTAAAAAACAACTACTTTAAGGTTAAAAGGTATAAAGCTAGCCTATATAAAGCTAGCTTATATATTTTTTTTTCTTTATTAAAGTAAAGAATACTACTTTAAAAATAAAAAAGAAGTTAACCTTTATAATATATAAAATTTATATTTATATAATTTTCTTAATTTCTTTATTATATAAGTACTTTAATAGGCTAAAATAACCTATATTAAAAGGCTAAAGCTTATATAATAAATAAAAAAGTATATATAAAGTAATAATATTTTATTTTTTATAAAAATTATTAAATTTAGTTAATTTATAGCTATTATAGCTATTAAGGATTAAGAGTTAATAAGTACCTTTTATATAAGACTTTATATACTAGTTAAAATAATTTAACTAATTTAGGCTAATCTTATTTATTATTTATTTATTTTTACTTAAGTAAATATATTAGTTAGTTAGAAATTAGCTATTAGTATACTAGTAAAAAAGGTAATATTTACTTTTTATAATAATATATAAAGGTATTACCTAGCTATCTATATATATACCTTAAATAATAAAAATCTATTTTTAATTACTAGGCTACTTTATATAAGGCCTTCTCTTATAGTTAAAGGTTATAATAACCTTTATATATAATAGTATTCTTATTAAAAACCTAGTCTTATTAAAATTATAAATATTATAATCTTATATCTTATACTTTATTATTATATTTTATATAAGTATAAACTAGCCTTATATAATTATAAGATCTTTAGCTAAGGCCTTCTAATAGTTAATTTAATATTAAAATTATATTTTTAATTAAGGTTATTATTATATAAAGTTCTTTACTTATTAAGGTCTAATATATATTATATTATATAAATCTAGGAGAAGATTAGCTATTTCTTATATATCTTCTTATTATAGAGGAAACCTTTAATTAATTAAGTTAATAACCCTCTTAAGAATTACCTCTTTTTTTACTTCTATTATCTTCTTTAATTTTAGATATATCTTGTCTTATATAATATGTCCTATACATTAGTTATAGAGAGTTAATTTAGGGACCTTAAAGGTAATAGCTGCTTTTTATATAGATATTTTTAGGTCTTTTTAGATAGCTTAGAGGGTAAAGATAATTTAGCTTTCTTTAGAAAAAGAGTTTATAGTTATATATAAAGAAAAGTAGGTGTAAAGGTTAAAGAGGTAAAAAAGCAGAGGATATATATAACTTATTATAATCTATAACTTACTATATAAGTATATTATATAGTTATAGTAAAAACTATAATTTATAACTAGTGTAATTATAGTATAAGCTACCTTATTAAGTAAGCTATTCTTAATATTACTGCTAGTATAGCTATATATAGTCCTTAATAAGGCGTTAAGGCTAATGTTACTACTTATTTAACCTACTGCCTTAATAAGGTCTAAAGTAATAGATCTATTAAGGTTAAATTATATAGTAGGTTAAGAAGTAAGCCTAATAATTAGTTTATTAACTATAACGCTAGTAGTTCTACTATACCTCCCTTTATTATTAAGGTTACTTATAGCTAGTCTCTAGAGAATACTATAGATAAGGCTAAACTCTATATCTAAAGGACACAAGGACTTATCTATACTATCCTTATTATTAATATATAATACCCTTAAGTCTTATAAGTATATCTATATCTTTTTATTATAGGCTATATAGGTATTAACCTTATTACCTTTAAGGTACAGTAGTTAACTCTCTTTAATAATATAGTCTAAGTAATAGAAGCTAAGCCTAACACTAAATCTAAATTAACTACTTCTCTCTAGCTATTTATATCTAACTTTCTCTTAATAGACTTATATAATATACTAGCTTCTCTATAACATCTAGTGCTAGGTTAAAACTATTATAGCTAGTAGGTTTCCTATCTTCTTATAAATTCCTATCTAGCCTACTATTCTCTTTTTCCTATGCC